AGACTGGTGCTTCAGGCTTCAAGATAGGGAATCTCAAACAAACAAAGTTGTGTTTCTTTTTTTTTTTTTTTTTTAAGATTTTATTCATTTACTTAAGAGAGAGTACATAAGCAGGGGGAGGGACATACGGAGAGGGAGAAGCAGGCTCCCCACCAAACAGCAAGCCTGATGAGGACTCAGTCCGAGAACCCTGGGATCATGATCTGAGCTAAAGGCAGATACTTAACCGACTGAGCCACCCAGGCACCCCCATTTTATTCTTTTAATTGATTGCTAATAAGATAGTTTATAAAGAAAAGGAATACTATTTAAAACAATGATGGGGAGGGGTAGATGGGGAAGAGGAGTAATTTCCGGAGATTATTTTGTTTGAATATTTTGATTGGTAGAAGAAACACATTTGACTGTAGAAATTTTAGAAAGAACACATTAATATTTTGGTATATACCTTTTAACCTTTTTTCCTTAATAGATTTTTCTTGAAGGTAGGCATCCAACTTAAAAGCAGCAGAATGATGGTATTAATTATAACAAAATTTCATTGATTAAAAAAAAGTATTAAAACACACCCAAAACAGGGATGCCTAGGTGGCTCAGTCAGTTCAGCATCTGCCTTCAGCTCAGGTCTTGATCCCAGGGTCCTGGGATTAAGCCCCACATCTGGCTCCTTGCTCAGTGGGGAGCTTCCTTCTCCCTCTCCCTCTGCTTGCCCCTCCCGCTGCTTGTGTGCTCTGTCAAATAAATAAAATCTTAAAAATTAAAAAGATTTAAAAATACACCCAAACAATTATTGTGTAGAAAATATCTCAAATTTCTAACAGTAGTTATTCTGGTGAAGATAGAAGGTTTGGTTTATTGAGGGAGTTGTGGAGGCAAAAGGATATTTTAGCTTTATCTCTAATATTCTAATATTTAAAAAATAGATTCAGTGTAGGGCACCTGCATGGCTCACTTGGTTAAGTGCCTGATTTTGGTTCAGGTCATGATCTCTTGTTGTACCCAAGTTTTCGCATCTAAGAGACCACCAAGGAGCCAAGCACCGATGCAATCGCATGAGGGTTTATTTGACAAAGCTTAAGCCTAGGCCCAAGTATACCCGACACAGCGGGGTAAGGACTTGGACCCCGAGCCAGATTACAGTCAGAGTTTTTAAAAGCAGAGTAGGGATGGACTCGGCGGTGGGTGAGGACAAAGGGGGTGTTCAGAAGGGCTATCAGGGTAAAGAAGACTGTCAGGATATTGAAGGCCTGGCTACTATCAAGCCAAGGCCATTTTTCCCTTTAATGAGGCACTAGCATGAAAACAATTGGGAGTTTCCTGGTGGAATGTTACATTCTTGCTATCAAGCATCCTTGTTAGTGAGATTTGGGTTTAGAAGAAATTTAACTTTATTTGCTTTTCCTTCTACCTCAGCCTCCTTCAGTTTTGTTTATGGAGGGGAGGGTGACATTAGGGCTTAAGGAACTGAGTTATTTGTCTCTGGAAATTGGGCTAGACTCAAGGTGGGTACAGCCTTGTTTTTCTTGGCCTCCACCTCTGAGTCCCGGGATGGAGCTGTGTCAGTCTGCTTCTCCCTCTCCCATTCCCTCCGCCCTCCCCCACTTGCGCACTGACGCACTCTCTCTCTCAAATAAAAATTTAAAAAATCTTTAAAAAATTAAAAGAATAGATTGTGTGTTACATAAGTAATTAAATATCAATTAAAAAGAAAAGAAAAAGAAAAGAAATAAAGCCAAATAAATTGGCTCAGTCAATAGAGCATGTGACTCTTGATCTTGGGGTCGTGAGTGCAAGCCCAACAATGGGAGTAGAGATGCCTTAAAAAAATAAAAAATGCAAAAAAAAAAACAAAAACAAAAAGAAAAAAAAATCCAAACATAAAAGGGTTACCACATGTATAAAATTTTGAAGGGGGTGATGAATGACAGTTAACATGTCTAGTTTGGCAGAGAAAACAATTTTAGGAGCCTTGCCCTTACTATCATTTCCTGACTTATTAGTTCCAGAACCATTAATAGTGTATCACATGATTGAGAAATGTTGGAATCATCACAGTCCTCAGAAATTCAGGTAGCCAAACTGTTTTTTTATTTTTTATTTTCCTCCAGAAAAATGTTCCTGATTATTAACTTTGAGTGACTCTTAAAACACTGTTTACAGTCAAACAACTTAATTTAACAAACATATATTGGACATCTACATATTTTTAAAATATTCAGGACCATTTGGAATTATAGCAACAGATACTCCATTAGGAGATTAAATAATTTAGTTGCATAATTTTGTTTTCATCTTTAAAGCATATATAATTCACCTGAAACTTGATGGCTACAACACTTTTTTTCTCATTGTGATGACATCAGAACAGCAGATGAAACACCAGGGACATCAGATGATTGGGCTCCAGTATACCTACTGCATAACAGGGAGCATCTGTTAATGCTACAGGAATGAGGCAAAGTTTATGATTTTTGCATGATTTTTTTCTATACTAGGTCTTTATCTAATTGGGATGGGGTTGGCATTTCTGAAGCCAGCACCCTACATAGGTAGGAGTTAGAAACAAGAAAAATATATTCAGCTTGGCTGAGGCATACATAACCCAAGTAATGAGAAAAGCAAAGAATGGAATTACCGATTGTATCAATTCATTGTTCTCCTGGTACCTCCACTGATGAGTCCTCAAATGCCACTCCTTTAAATTTTCAGGTCTCCTTCAAAAGCTTCAAAAGCCTTGGGCCACATACACCTTCCTCTCCTCTACTGCATAATAGTGTTTTAAGAAATGGTATGTACACCTTTAAGCTTCCGAGGTAGGCAGTACATTTTTTTTTATTATACTTTTATATGGAATTCTATGAAAGTGTTTTTTTTTTTTTTTTTTTACAGATTTTATTTATTTGACAGAGAGATCACAAGCAGGCAGAGAGGCAGGCAGAGAGAGAAGGGAAAGCAGGCTCCCTGCTGAGCAGAAAGCCCAATGTGGGGCTTGATCCTAGGACCCTGAGATCGTGACCTGAGCCCAAGGCAGAGGCTTAACCCACTGAGCCACCCAGGCGCCCCTATGAAAGTGTTTTTAAAATAAACTGTTCACTCAGTAAAGAGGAAGAATAGAATGAACTAGTTAAATATCCACTTACAAAGAATGTTACAATAAAATACAGCTAAGATTAAAAGCAAAAAGAGCCACAATTCCTTATCTATAATTCTCATATCCAAAAAAAGCTCTGCAAACAGAAAGTTTCTTCCTAAATTTGGTGACAAAACTGACCTGACCTGAGGCTCTTTATAGTCTTCAGTTATCACACTTAGTGGTGCTATTCATACATTCACCATAGAAATATTAGTGTATTTGAGAATGGCTGCTATCTTAGACTCTTTTGAGAATTTGAGGAAAATATATGTACTCTATTAGTGTTCTAAAATCTGAAAATTTTGATTTCAAAACACAATTAGCCCTAGGTTTCAAATAAAGGCTTGTCAAGCAGTATTTCCCTAACCTGTTAATGATATGGTGATTTTATCAAACCCAAAGATGGTTGCAAAAAATATTTTTATTCCATGGTATGTCATGAGGATGAGTCACCAGGAAAAGAGAAAAGGCATATTGGAACAGCTACAGGAATAAACAGGCTGCATCGAAAACTAACACAGGAATGAGCTGGTAAGTGATGTAGCTATAAGACACGGTATAATTATTAGAAGATTTACTGTATAAAGACAGCATACAGCAGTGCTACTAATACTGCCTGCATAAAATGCAAAGTCCCACTCTTTTGAAGCTTCTTTTATGCATAGTGCTTTAGGCCATTCTGATTTAGTAGTTCTCAACCTGTTTAAAATTCGAATCTCCTGGAGAGCTTTCTAGAAATAACCTATGCATGAGCCTCACCTTCAGATATTCTGATTTACTTGATCTAGGGAGGGGCCTTGGCAAGTGTTTTTAAAAATGCCCTACCCTGGTTGGCTTAGTAGAGCATGCAACTCTTGATCTTGAGGTTGTAATTTCAAGCTTCACGCTGAATGTATAGATTACTTTAAAAAAAAAAATCTTAAAAAAACAAAAAACACCCTAGATGATTCTCATGTGCAGCAGCAAGAACTCTTATTAAAAAGTGCTAATACCCAGGCTCTAACCCAGAACAGGTAAATTGGAATCCTTCGAAGTGAAGCCCAGGAAAAGATACTCAGGTGATTCCAAAGTATACCCAAAGGTGAAAACCAATGATTGAGACCCTCTCTGTTGCCTGGATTAAGGATTAAGTGTGTCAACTGTTTTTTTCTTTCTTTTTTCCGGAATCAACTCAGTTCTCAATTATCACTGTAGTAGAGTCACCAGTAAAGAAATCTAAGCTTTATCCACTCTTAATAATGGTGGCTTATTCATGGAATCTCTCTTCAGTTTCAATTTCAATGCAAAAAAGTATGGGGGGGGGGTGTATGGAAATCACATGAGAAATATTTTTAAATACTTTCAGCAAAATAATCCACACCATTTCAAACTCCTTTAGCATACAGTAAATCATAGTGAAGGATAAAACAGAAAAGTAGAATTCATTTTAGTTGAGTCTATTATTGTACAGGAGAACATAACTTCAGCACAGAATAGGAAATCATAGCATCTTCCAATCAATTATAGGTAGCAAATAAAAAAATAATTACGATAGTTTTCCAGTGACTCTAACTGTTCAGGGTGCCAAAGTAAAACAGATTTCTATATAAATTTCAAAGACAACTAGAAAATCTATTAAAAAATATTAAATTCAAGATAATGTCTGCTCAAAAATCAACTAAAATATAAGTAAGGTGCACATTTTATGGACAGAAGATAAATCTCTTTTACTTTTACTTAAAAATAATTTTTTTCATGCATTCTAATGGTCATATGAAAAAGACATTTACTTTTTTTTCATTACTAACCCTGAGGAAGGAAGAACACATGTGGAGTAGCTCCCTAAGAACCATACTCCACACTTTTCACAACTGGAAATGGCAAATAATGGAGGAAATGAGGAGTATATTTATTCAGGCTTCCACACACATCAATTTAAACCACCCAAAACTAAAATTTGGGCAACTGGCACAAGTGGCATTACACTTTTAGGCCAACATACAGCAATATTTAGGGCCATCAGAGCTTCATTGCTCAAGAAGCTCTATTTAGCAGAAGAAAAATAAAAGTAAGTTCTATGTACACTTATCTTTCACTACAAAGAGGTTTGCTGTTTCAAGGCAATTAATGAGAGAAAAAATGTGAAATCTCATCACAACGAATATGGGAAGAGCCAGTATTTTCTCTTTGCCAATTACAATTATTCTTCTTAGGGATGAAACTTGGGATTGCAAGTTTAGCTGAATTTACCACAGTTTCAACCTTTGTAAATGAAAAGAAGTTCACTCCCTGGGCCAAAACCCCCAAGCAGCAGTTGGGAGTAAGAGGGCAATGAGGACAGAAGAAAACAGATTCACTGCGTTGTTATCAAGAATCGGTTTCCCTGCTATGTACTTCACGTCATTCACTGGGCTACTGACCACCATGCCAGTGCTTTCATCTAAACCTGGAGTGGAAAAGAAGCAAGTGAGGTGAAAAATCCAAATGACTTGATTTAAAACAAATTAGCTTTTCTCCTCCAAAGAATATAATCTTTGAAAAAGTCTCAACCACTTATAAATTGACTTCAGTGGATAATTATAAGGTGAGAGATATGGAACCCTTGATTACCAAGGACTTTTTTTGAAATGTGAGTTTTAGTACACCTCAATACCGTTTTCTCAACACTGCTGGAATTCCTTCACTGGAAGAAGGAAGAACATTAAAAGCAGAGGTAGCATGAAACTAGAAGACTAGGTCTCCAAGACCAACCTGCGAGATCTTTGAGAATAGGAATCACGTATTTAGCCTCTGCAATGGAAACCCAGGACCCAGCGTGGTGCCAGCACAAAGGAGGCATACAAAGAATTTACTGAAGGAATTAACCTTTCCTACAGCCCACATTAATTTTTTCAATCCACTCAACATGATCAGAAACTTCCCCAGTTAGGGCCCAGTGTAGAATAAAACCTAGGCTCCTAAATAAACAAACAAACAAACAGAAAAACCCAAAAACATAGAGGGAAGGAGAGAGAGAGAGAGAGAGAGAATGTGTGTGTGTGTGTGTGTGTGTGTGTGTGTGTGTGTGTGTGTGTGTGT